GAAAACATACAATCCTCTTCATCGTTTTGTGAATTTTGTAGCTTTGAACAATGGAAAACCAAGGATTGTTGCATATGAAAAAAAAAATTCACCCATCTTGAAATTAAAAAAAGAGTAATCTGTTACTTTGTTTTTTCAAAACCCATGGGCAAAATTTGTCTTTTTTGTACCTAATTACTTGGGCCCTTTCCTGGCAGCAGTACAGCTTATAGAACATCCACATACTTCTTTCAAATTCAAGAAGACATGCAAACAATACATACACACTGAAAGAACCCTAGTTCATTGAGGTGTACACGTTCCCTAAATATTTAGTTAATCTTCAGTTTCAATTCCAGTTGCACCAACTTTATTTTTAAATGCCTTTGCATGTTATCGGTATCTCACACACACAATATGGTACCAACTGTAACAATACTGAATACTGAGAAAATATATCATGCATTATACTCATGCACTGCACTTGCGGTAATAGAAGACCTCTAAATGGCCAACTGACTTTTCAAAATAAGCCGCAGTTCCTAATGTAATGGGTTTTTATTTTTAGCGTGTGGATACCTTAAATATACAAGGTTTTCTACCGGCATATTGATGAGGTGATGCATGTTATGTACCGGGAAGTGTACATGTGTACATCCGCTACATGTACATCTACATGTACATACCAGCTACATGTACATACCAGCTACATGTACACGTAGCTGGCAGAGAATTGTATTGGCTATTCCAGTGAGATGTTTTGTGCCGGTTGCCAATACTCCTGTGCTCATTCGATCCAGTGTCATATTTATTAGGGACTGCGGGTGTGTATATTTTTTCAAGGGGTTCCGGAAGCTGGTGAACTACAGCTTGAACATTTAGATGGGCACATTTCAAAATTGTCAAATGGAGGAGGGACACCTGGGGAGAGGGGAACAAGGACACAGACCTCCTTGGGGGGGTTTGAGGACGGGGAGTGTTCTCCTCCCTTAATTACACTATAGATGCATCCTTGAACATGGGGCACACCTGCCTGTGACACATGGTACCAGCTAGCACAGCTATGAGTAAGGCTTTTACTTGTTATCGATTTACATGTACACATGTATAGTCGATAGATGTTTAAAAATCAGATTCAATGTACATGTACATGTACCTGTGCATTATTATTAACATACCGGCATCTTTTGGACATTTTGTCTGGCCACCAATACTTTCAATAAGACAAATACCAGAACTGGTCAGAAAATGGCCAAAGTGTGATTCTACCTGTAGCTTTATGGCACTGAATGTTCCTAAAATCTGTTAGGGCTGAGTCAATTCAAATAATTCACTATTCAAATATTCGACCTTCACTTTGATCAAATATTCGGTTGTACTGACCAGCAGGTTGTTGATGAAGAAACCATACACAAAATAAGTTGCAATAACACACAGAATTGTACATTATAATCACTGTACTGGTAATAGCTTTTAACTTCTAGGACTCTCTCCAGCCACGACTTACCAAGATTTAACAGATAAATAATACTTCTTGCCCTGTTTACAGTTTATTCCTTTTAGATTTTTTAATGAATGATTTACTTTTTGAATCCTTGTAAGATATATTATTCTGTCACTTTCATTTGAATCTGCATGAAACAAGCCTCCCTAGTATGATTTTTCTCATTTAAAACAAAAGAAAATTCTCCCTTTACATTAATTTTGCATTCGAATATTCAAATGTGGAAACTAATATTCAAATATTTGATAATCGATCGAATATTCGGATATTCGACACAGCCCTAAAAACTGTTACACTATTCACACATGGAGATGCTCACTTGTCTTTTTATACAATTGCAAAAATAATATTAAATATACTTATTTATTTTCTTCTAAGCAGAGTTATGTTTGTGTCACAGGAGTTGACAGAGAAATGACAGAGGACGTTATTCTTACTTTTCTTGACTTTTAAGATCTTGAAGACATTTCCAATGAAACCACAACTTGATCCCATAGAGGGGAAAATGTTTGAACGTGTACTTTTTGTCTCCTCCAGTGTAGAAACTTGATTTTCACATCAAACTTGACAATAGAGTTTTCACAGTTCATTTCATTAATAGAGAACAGAAGCAATGATTCCTCGTTGTCTTTACTCTTTGTGTCTCTTTTTCTTTGTCCTTCAGGACTTTGTGCCGCTGTTTTCTGATTTTGTGAATTTCTTTGCCCGCAATATCTACATGCGAGGCAGAGATTGCGGACACGTCCCGATAGCCAGTTTGCCTGGTCCTGAGGTTGACATCATGGAGTATTCCACACCAGACAACAACTGGACTCTTAAGTGAGTATTGGGTTACTTTTCGTACTGTATACATGTACGGTATGTCGTGAATAGAAATACCTCCTTGATCTGCCATATATCAAGGTCTCACAAGATGTGTACAGAAATATCTTTGATAAAATGAAATAGTTATCAGTAAGCAGGATTTTTTTTAATCAGTCTTGACTTCTATACCCAGCAAAATATGGGATGGAGGGGTACCCCCAACTTATATGTCCAAACCTTATAGACACTCTAGACTGGTGTTACCGGTACCTAACACATCCCTCCCATCTAAAAAGAATTCCTGAGATTCCAGTAAGGCAATGACCAACACAAAGGGGGGGTTCTCTCTGTCTCTTATCTTGCTTCATATTTATACTTTCACATTCACATTTGTCATTCAGACAAAGCCAGGCAGTACTTCTGATAGAGCACATCCACTTTTATTGAACAAATAAGGTAAATGGAAGGAAAATGTCAGTCCGTCCACAATGTCGCCCATGTGTACACATGTATGAAGTCCAAAACTAAACATCTGCTGGTGGGATTTTCATCAGTGACTCATGTACATCACTGTGGTATATGAGGTCCAATGAGGTTATGAATAAAAAGCAAGTGATCCCTAGAAATTCAATTAGAGAGGCATCCTTCATTTGATACCTGAAATTGAGTTGTTTTATGATCAGTAATGGCAGTCGTACAGTGACTGAGTGATACATGGCAATGACATGTGCTCTTTATAGCAGATCAGTGCAGAATAATTGCTTGCCAACTGGTTACTGTACTGTAGCACGAATGTATTGTCATTTGATACCATGTACCTGCAGGTGCAAGAGTTTTCTAAATGTACATGTACACATCACAGTGTAAATGTACTTGCACCTGTACATGTATATGTTTATTTAATACCCAGTTCAACATGTTTAGTTGAGTCCCTTTAAATCTTTTTAAAGTTCTGTAAATTGATAAAGTAAAGCTCTGCTAAAAAAAAACACAATACAACATTAAAAACACATCAAAATACATTGAATACATATCCTTAAAGTTGATCTTAAAATTTCTTTCTCCAAACACCCAAATCTAGCCCTCGGAAGTGTTGTTGAAGTACATTATAAGTCATGCATGTATTTCTACAACAATGCTGACAGCAGCGTGCTTGCATTATGTTTTGATCACAAGAGAGTTGGAGCAGTAAGGAAGCTTATTAGTTTTTTATTTTATAGTTTGTTTAATCTAGTCAGAAGCAAATGGTATTGCTTGTATCTATTTTCTTACTTGTTGTGCCCGGGAAGTCTGTGTACATGTACATGTACATGTGGCTACATGCTGCTTGTACCAGCAACTTCCAATCATGAATGACCTAGAGACCCTGGGGTCTAGAAAAAGGACAGAGGCTTTGCATTTTTAATGGTTTTTCTACATCGGTTGAAATTCTGTCTGCTGATGGAGACCTTGTGCTGTACATGATGTACATGTACATGTATTTTACAATACTAAGGGCTACAAAGGTCGAATGTTAAGACCACTGGCATTTCAACAAAACCTAGATCATACAGTACATGCATAAAAGTGTGAGACATACTGTACATGTACATGTACGTACATGTGCATGTAATGCATACATGTACATACCATTCCTACATGTACATGTACAGTGTACGTACATACTGACACAATGTATGCATACAAACACCCTTGTTCGGCCTTATACCCATGCTCAGAAACAACCGGTACTGTACATGTACTGTATGGTTTTGTTGGCTAACTCCATCGGGTGCATCCTATTTAGTGGACCTGCATAGAGGTGTTGATATTCCAAGAGATGAATTTAATTTACATCATCCCATGTACATGTACGGTCCTTGGTACCCGTACATGTGCTAGTACATACATGTATGTACATGTACATATACATGTACCGATAATTACAGGCTTGTCTGTTGCTTGTGGGGTGATTGCAGCAAGTCTTGTCTGGTTTTTTCATTTTTGTTTTCTGTGGTTGAGGCATGCCTTTGAATTATTGCTTTGTGTGGATTGTACATTTTTAGGCCCTGGCTCTA